ATAAACAAATAAAAATGATGATATATTTAATTAATCAAATAAATTACTAAATGTATGAGTTAATTTTTTCATCTAATCTGATATCATTGTTGTAATCAAATTTTTATATTCTTTAAATTTGATATTAATTCAAAAAATCATTTAATTAATATGAATTCCACTCCACTAAACTCTCTTTTGAAAGTGAATATTTATAACTGATTCCCTTTTAAAATAAAAAAATGATTGAGTGAACTCTTTTACTAATTTATTAAGTTCATTTTTTTAATTTTCACATTCCCTATTAAAATTTTAATAAATTCTCTCACATTTTTTATTTTTTTTAAACCATCAAAATGATTTGATGAATAAATGTTCAACAAAAATTCAAAATAATTTAATTGGAATTATTAAAAAAATCATTCTAAAACACACTATATATTTTATCCTTGTGATCACTAATCTAGCAGTTTAACTTTTAAACTCCTGATTAACCCATGTTTATAAATCTAATTTAAATATATATATATTAAAATTTTTCTTTATCTAATTATGACTAGAATGAAATATTTTTTCTATTGTTATAAAAAATAAGCTCTATTTAAAAAATTTAGATTTTTATAAAAGCATTTCAATGTTTTATTCAAGTAAATCCCTTATCGATCATAAAAATTATGTAAACTATTTTTCTAATTCCAATCAGTTTGCAAATTTCTCAATCAACAGAATTTATTCTTTATATTAGAATGAATATATTTTATCTATTTATAATTCTACAGTATTCATAATTTTATATTCATAAAGTAATTATGATATTACTAGGATTTTCATGAATCTCGTTTAAATTAATTAAATAAAATCGAATCCCTATTGATATAAAAAATTCTAATTATATTAATTCTCTTTGCAAAAACTCTTAAATTACCCTAAAAGAATATTGAATAATTAGAGAAATTGTTTTTAACAAAGCAGTCGTTAAACATCATTAGTATTTAATATAAACAAAACTAATGATACTGTAAATAATCACTGTATATGAAAAATAAAACGCTTATAATTTAAATATTAAGGCACAAGAATAAATTTCTTTTAAAGAATATTATGAATATAAAAGAAGGAATTTGAGGAAAGAATTTGTAAATTATAAATAAAAGGATAAAATATAAATGATGCCTTCTTCTCTTTTACTTTTATTTATTACTATATTTTTTTAATAATACGAAAAATTCCTTTTTCTCAGCTAAAACTTGTTTATCTAATTTTTTTGTGAATATTATTCTTTTAAATCATATTTCTCATTATTATTCTACTTTAGTTAACATTTATTTATTTAATCTAGAACTTATATCTATTATAACAAGTCATAAAACCCCACATGATTATAACATTTTGTATTATTTTTTTGCTAATTATGTATTTATTTTTAAATATCAATTTTTCCATCATTTAATAATTGATTTCAATGCTAAACATCTTTATTAATTAATAAATGATCTGTTTTCAAAGCAATTTATTTACCAAGATGCCCTTTTAAAAAGTTGCCTTGAGTGTATGAGCAATCAAAA